CTGACTGCTAACAACGTTGGATGTGCAGATGTAATGAAAGCAGTCGCGGAGTATAGACAGTGGGTCTGCAAGTGGAAGCGTGAATTTGATGACAAGTCTCCAACTGACCATATAGCTACTGTCAAACATTGTGATTGTTCCCTATATCCAACCATTCAAGCACTCCTTCAAATTGCAAGTATTCTGCCTGTTTCGACAGCAACAGTTGAACGTTCTTTCTCTACTTTAAGACGTCTGAAGACATACCTTCGCAACCGCACCTCACAAGAACGACTGAATGGTCTCGCACTCATGAACATTTATAACACAGTAGCAATTGATACAGACCGCATTATTGACAGGTTTTCAAAGACACAATCACGACGTTTGGTGTTGATATAATAGACAATTTTTTACGATGAGACACAAACTTAAAAAAAAAAGCCTTTGAAGTGGACTACAAATCAATTTGATTGGCCTACTTTACTGTAAACTTAACCATTTTGCGCTTCTTCAAAGATATCGACAGATTTTACTACAAAAACTGTAACTTATAAACTAGAGGTCGGATAAATTAGGTTAAAACAGTTTTTAGAAGGTTATAAATATAGCTATTGCAGACAACTTACAAAATATTTGTTTTAAAATATTTGGCACCGTCATTTTTGGGTTGAATTACGAAAATAGGCGATATTAGTGTGTTTTCAGCGTGATTTGAGCTGGCATATTATGAGGAGTCGTTTATTACGTCTAGGTTGAAGCGAAATCAGAAAGCAAGTTTTCTTTTGATCATTTATATATTAAACTTAATCGGATAAAATTTGCTTCTGTCATTTTTTAGTTCTATCAAATGCATTCAAGAACAAAAATTGCCCGGGCTCACAGCTGAACTGCACAAACATAATTATGTTGTATCAAAGACTGTTCAATAATATTCTTTTTCTTATTAGCCTGTTACTAGCTTGAAAAAATTGTGACTTCGTGAAAACGATAAAATTGAACCCTGCATAGGTTGTTCACACGTACATCGAAGTTTGTGTCTCTTCGTGAAACTAAAATCTCATTGTGATATTGAAAGGTTCACTTTGGCTATGTTCACACACGGCAGCTAACGGTTAGCAAATGCAGATCACAAACATACGCGCTAACCCGTGCGTTCATACAAAAAAAATCCCCGATTCAGATAGGCCTACCAAGATGATGATGATGGGATCACTGGTCAATAGGAAACTGGAAATTGAGTGTGATTGGTAAATGTTAGAATTGCGCTCAGTTACAGCCTTCAGAACGTTCAAAAATTGTTACCATCCCACCGGCGGGGCCCTTGGCGAGCCCCAGCCATAGGGAGGGGGCGCCCTTCTCAAATCAATTACCGCTCGGTACTACGTACTTCGGAAAACGGCTCCCCCCCTTTCAAAATCCTGGCTACGTCCCTGCTAGAGTATATCTTCACCCTAGGGATTGGGTGGTGTACTGCCAGATGGTAAGAACGAATAACGATCTAGAAGGATGGCACCACCGGCTGAACTACCGAGCCAAGCGTGGTGAGTTCATAAATTAAATTCATTACACACTCAAATATTCTACAGAATTTATTGTGATGTATTATGAATGGTAATACAGCGATAATGATTGTCATTTATTTGTTATTAATATTCTAACATTTATATCTTTACTTCGATTGCATAGGCAAACTACAGTTTTATCTGCTCACTCAGCCACTCTCCAAAGAAGGGGTAACTGTCTCCATCACATCAGAGTTGGTCTTCAGAGAGGACGTAACAAGATTGGAGTCTAAACGATCTGCATCAGCAAATGTCAGATTAAACCAGCTTTGGAACCAATACCGCGCTGGTGAGCGTGATGTCCGATCAATGATGATCAGTGCCAGCAGACTCATCAAGTTTTCGACGAAATAAATGTAATAAAGATAAATGTGATGAATGATGCAGTTATTGTACTATGTAGTTACTATTTTTATATCAGTTTATT